GCGGGACCGCAGCTATGTTTAATGTTTCGCGCAGTAGCGTCATCAGGCGATAACAGGAAATTAACCTGACGTGACGTTTAACGGCAGACTTTCAAACTGCACGAAATACCTACAAGTCGAAGCTCCTGGATTGCAATTTCAACGACGATGATACCGAGTGGCATAAGATACGTGATGTTTATAACCTCACCTTAATTCACTGGTCAGAAAGAACCCACTATGACTGTTCGCGCGAAACGAGCCACTTGGCAAACTTGATTAATATAATTATCGATTTTATACAGAGAATCCGGTCGTTACATATACATACCTTACGAACGAATTGAACCCACTGAAATATATCTATATATATATTTCATTGCATACCTTACGCGCATATATACACCACATATATTATACACGTACTACATAATTGTACCTACCGGCAACGGCGCGCCACTGCGGTCACTCGGCGAACCAAGTAAAAGACTCTCGCGTATATATCGAGTCCGGTTACCAGGCGGCAAAGATACGCAATTGCGTGCGCGAGTATTTTCTTATTGATTTGCTTCGTGCGAATTAACTTCTCCTTTTTATGTGCATTCATACCTTTCTTTTTGCCAAGTGCGCATCGAGCAGAGTCCGCGCCGAGCGAACGAGGTTATGTTTGGTTGCTTCTCTACACGCGCATACATCAACGCGCAGGGCCACGGTGCACTTTTGTAGTTTCATAGAAACACTCTCTCCGCATGACTTTGCTATTATACATTCTTCCTGTATATGATGTGTATGCTCCTCGTTCTCAATGACTCTCGTACGTATCGCCGATCCGCGATGGCTGAACTCGATAAGATCCTTCGGATTACTCGTTGGCGGTTACGTAACCCTCTGACAGGGGGCGATTATACGTACGAGAGAACGAAGCTTAAGACAACGGGAGAAAGCCGATTCTGGTATGTACGAAGCGTTTAAGGACTGGAATAGTTTGGACCAGCATGGTCGCTGGGTAACGTCTGTCGGATCCATTTAATTAGTTTTTTTTTATATTTTTTTTTTTTTCAGCCACTTGACTCTTACGCAGTCCGTACGGCAGTGAGGTTAAGTAGCCCGATTCAATTTCCCGGCAGATTTAACGTGTCTCGTATACGAAAACCAATCGGACAACTCGTATGGTTAATGCGATTACGTGGAATCTACATTGTAAATGAAAGTTTGTTGTTAACGATGTTCGTTCGTTCATACCTGTATGTCCGTGAGATACACGCGTCTCGGGTCTTGAAATTATGTAAAGAATTACGCCTCTCGGGTGGGTACACACAGACCTCTGGGACTTATGTAACGGACGGATCCAATTTCTCGCATACGTAGACACGGTTAACCCGGAAGGCATTGAGAAGTAGAAAAAAATTTCTTGTATCCTTTTAAAGGATCGCGAAGGATTAAAATAAAAATTTTATCCTAATTTTTTTACAGTCACGCGTCGCTTCTACGATGGGATCGAAATGCTCTTTTTTACCTTCATATATTCATTCATCATTTTCTAGTATATTACGCCTGTATATTTGGGTGCATATACTTATTCTGTATATCTATTTCGAACTAACTTAACGTACTTCTGTACTTTCCTGACGTATGTATTACGTTAAAATAACATTGTTACGTTCGCTTAAATTAATTTACGTTCGTCAAAATGTCATTGTAACGCGTTACGTTCACGATTTGTATACAAGAAACGTGCGATCCGTTAGGAATCGAGGTACCATAGGCTTCACGGATGATTATATCGTTACGCAATTCACGTAAATGTTTCGAGTCGCGGAACGGATTCGTCGATAAAAATGATCCTGCTTATAACTTACGGTGACACGAGAAATGAAATTCACGTGGAAATAACGTCGTTTCTTTCGGCCGGATCTTTTGACTTCGGTACGAACGGCGACGGACGGCCGTAAGAAACGTTTGAAGTAATTTGAACATTCGAAGAGGCCACTGAATCGAAGAAATGAGCTCTCGGCCGTTACGGGCAGCCATGTGTACAGTAGGTTTCCTTTCTGACTTCAAATCGAACGGATCATTGCAATGGTATACGCCGCCGAGCTACTGTGTCTGTTCGCGCGTAACTTTGAATCTTGGACTTAAATATCTATGTGTATATATATATATACGCCTATGGTAACCAGTAACGGGTAACTGATCTGTTACATTAAGATATATGATAACGTCGCGCGAGATTGAGTTGTAGGAAATGATTCGACTTTGTCTCCTATGGCGTCTTCCAGGTATCGGTAATCAATACTGGATCCTATTTCATATCGGTCAAGTAGTGTCATTATCAAAGAAATTCTCATCCCTTAGAGATAATGTATCCTCAATTAATTGATATTTGAAAATGAGATCGTATGACATGTATATATATATAGGTATACACACATATCTTATTCACGGTCTTTTGAGACAATAATAATACGAGGTATTTCGAAAATTTAATTTTTTAATAAATATTTAATTTCAATTAATATTTCATTTACCTATCGATTGGTATGGGCAATTAATAAAAAGTTTGACAACCCCTCACGATCTGTACAAATAGTTCTGCTCGATCGGTCCAGAATCGAACGTTGTCTTAATTTTTCTATGCGAATTGTTTTACCCAATATTTCTTACGTCTATTTCGTCCGCAACTTTCTGTAATGCCTCCTTTTTTTTTTTTTTTTTTTTTTTTT